AACTTTATTTCAGTCTCAATAGCACAGAAAGTCCCTGCTCGTATCAGTAAACAACTGCCACCTTCCAACCGATGAGATAAGCAACAGGCTATTTCAGCGCCCACTCCCGGTGCAGAAGGAACACAATGACGGCCAAGGTGCCGCCAGAATCTTCCTTCCTTCCTCGATGACTCAGCCCCGGTGGAGCGGTGCGGTGCTCTGGGGCCAGCACGTGCTGCCCAGAGGCAGGCAGGGCAGCACAGCACAGCACAGCCCGCCCCAGCCTCGTCGAGGTGCCGCCAGGCCAGCCCGGGCACCCCGCAGCACCGGGGCGGGAAAACTGGAGCGACTGCACCAGCAGGTCCCTGCCCCAGAGCCAGTCAGGAAACCAGCAGCTACACGGATTGATAGGCAAGATCTGGAAGCAAGGAGAAGGAGGGAGGAGATTGAAGAGGTCATGGAAAACCTGCGAGGCAAGCCATGGCTGATAGAAACTGCATGAACATGCAAGGAAAAAAGATCAGAACCCACAAAAGAGTACAACATCTAAGAAAGAGGAAATGGACAAAGACTGGGTGAGAAAATGCCATGGCATGTGCTTTGTTCCAGTTTCCAGGTACAATACGAACACTGAAGTGTTGCCCTACGAGCAAAGGCTTCTCCAAAATAGTTCTTTTTTTTAAGCTTTAACTGAACTCAGTGCTTGTTTTTGAAAGCTTCCTAGAAATACAGCAGCGTTGTGAGGTATTTATAGCTTTTAAAGCCAGTTATGATTAACTTGAATCCCCAGCCTCCCAGCTTCAAACCACAACCTCCATTCCCATCTTTTCATTTTTCCCTAAGAGAGTCAAGGAACGAGAGGGGCTCCTAGTCGGAGGAACAGGTGCCAGCCCTCTCCACCAAGGCAGCAGCATCTTCTGGGCCCTCAGACACATCATGTAACCTTCCAGTTCTCAGGGTGATGCTGGCTCTTATCTTTGTTATGTTTTAAAATACGCAAGCTATCAAACAAGAATCTAGATTTGTACAATAAGGTATTAATCTCGCTGTGATTGACCCATGAGCTCCTTGTGGATCATGCAGTTACCTGCTCATCTCTGAAAGCCTACAGAGGCAAGGGTACTTAGTGTGGTTTAACTGGTCCTCTTTAGAGGTCACACCTTTAACTAATTTGCATCAACATTCCAAATGGCAGGTCTAAATTACTATCTTTTTAAGCATTTATAAACCAAATACAGATTCTTCTGAAGCTTTTCACTCCAGGCTGCCTTGGTTAGTGGTTAGGCTCTGGGCTCACCTCAGGGGAGCACTCAGTAAAGGTTAACAGCACATGACAGATACAATTTCATATTGCACTAGCATGAGGACCTATGTGAACCTGGCTAAATGGTTTCAGGGAATAACTAGCCAGTTTAGCTGACAACGTACATCAGTCCCAAGGGTTTCTATTGTACTTTCAGTCCGCTCTTCAGCTGTACTGTGATTGCATATAGCGCTGCACTATGAATAGCTGCTGCTGTATGTGTGAAACAACAACCTACACAGCAACAGACAACAGGACCCCTCTCTGCTGGGGAGCAGAAGATCAAACTCCGCATCGCTTTGTTATGTGAATCCATGACAATGAGGCACTAGGAACCAAAGTTGCTGTGCTGGGTGCCCGTTTCAGTCAAACTGCTGATTGTTGCAAAGCAGGATTAGAAAGTGGTGTTGGTCTGGCTTTGTCTATCCAAGCTTTGCAAAGCACACAGAAAGCTCGCTGCCTCCACAAGACCCTAGCAGGCTAAGCCTTTTCAAATGTTTTTCCAATGATCTGGCACCAGCATGTCTAAAGAGCTGTGGGGAAACTCCACATTGTACTGTGCAAGCCAATGCAGCAAGCGGCACATGGTACTTCAGAAAGCCTGTCCGCACACCCTACAGCTCTGCAGAGCCTCACAGGTTGTGCTTCACAGCCTGGCCGAAGTGACAAAGGCCGTAAGCAACCTCATTACTAAAGCCTGCTGAGAGCTCTCTCCCACCCAGCATGGACGGAGAAGGGAAAGCATTCCCTCAGCACCTCTCCAAGGGTTGCTCTCCCAGCAGGGGGGGTAGAAGTGGGGGTAGCTGGCTGCCATACCATACTGTCAGGCTACCTCCTTGAAGCCACCGTCATCTCTCTCCTGTGACCTGATCAGGGACTGGCAGCACTGCAGCACTCCTCCACCTTTCCATTCCTTCCAGCAAGGGGAAGGTGATGGAAACACAGGCTACCCCCCCTCCAGAGCCACATGACCTCCATGACAAGAGCACTGCCCATATCTGACATTTAATTTAACTTCATTTCATTGTACCCTGCTGCTGTGGATCTGAGCGAAGAAAGGAAGGGGGATACCCTAGTTTTGGCACATGGGCAAGATCATGTCTTTTTGGAGAGCCCTAAGAAAGTAGGATATGTCTTTTTCTGGTAGATATGGATCTGAGTGTTGGAGGAGGCAGGGTCAGGATGCTGTCCATCTGTGGCCTCCTGTTTCTTGCCTTCACCAAACCTTCGCAGGGTTTTTGCAGGGCAAAGCACTGTCTGGGTAACAGGAACTGCATCAATGTACTCCTGGTCTTTTGGGTCACCTTTCTAAACCTCTTTGGCTTGACTTTTTATTTTGAAAACACTATGGAATAACCTTTTTCCTTGCTATTTCTTTCTTATACAGTAAGGGAGATGAGCAGCAAAATAACTATATTTACAAAAGATAGAGCTGGGAGGGCAAAATCCTGAGAGGACCACAGGACTTCCCATCTGAATCAGGCCGCTGGGAACAGCCTGCTGAGCAGTTACTATCCAGGACTCTGGTGCCCTGCAACTCACAGTATTTAGTATAGAAATGAAGTACAAAAGTACATACCTGTACCGCTCCTCCTGCAGAGTCTGCATTATTAATGAGTAATCCCTCTGATAGCGAACCTTAAGGTCCTCAAATGATTCTTCCAGTCTTGCCTGTGTCTCTCGAATTTCTTGAATCTCATGCAGTATTGCATCAAACCCTGAGCTCTGCATATCCAGAGTGTTTGTTTTGGAGCTAGAAGCTCCCACAGGGCCCCCTGTCGTGCTGTTGGCTCCCACAGAGCCTGACGTGGCACTGGAGCAATCCTCTTCACTGCCATATTTTGGGCTTGACTGAAAGTTCTGAATAACACCTAGAGCCTTGCCTCCTGTTCCATCTTCCTGGCCTTCTTCTAAGGAGTCTTTCAGATTAGCAATGTTGTCTGCACTCCCAAACTTGTTCCTTATGAGGGAGGCAATCTCCCGGGGTTTGGAAACCACAGCTCCTGCTGCTGAATGCGTAGCTTGGGAGAAACTGGAAAGCCCACCTTTTACGCTGTCTACTACTCCCTCACTGAAACCAGTGACTTTTGCTCCAACATCTTTCAAACCCTGATGCATATCCCTGAAGACATCCTTTGGCTGTCGAGGGATCCCATTCTGTTCAATCTCTCGCAGCTTTCGATGGTAATGTTCTAGTTTCTTCTGCAGCTGCAAGATGGTCTGGGCTGACTTTTGATTTTTCTTCTCAAACACTTGCTTAATGCGGGCACTCTGCTGCTTGTCTGCATTGTTGGCCAGTTTCAGGTACTCTGCCACGTTGTCATCACGGGCTGTTTGTTCAATTTTGATCTGCTCGGTCAACTTCAGTATTTTCTGCTGTAAGTGTGTGATAGCCACTTTTGTTCGCTGAGGATCTGGGGTGCCATCAACAGAGTCTGCATTGATGCTGCCATCAGTGCTCGAGGCCACTGCACTGGAGGTCTGCGCTAAGCTGCTGACTTCCAATCGCTCGATCTAGGCAAGGAGAGAGAGAAATACAAGCGCTAATCACCAGCTTCACTAACATAAAACCTTTCCTTCTTTGTAGCAGCCATCTTGACAAGTAGATACAATTCTGCAAAAATTTTTTCAGCTGGCCAGGGTACGGTATCAATCGACTCAGCTTCATGTGCTTTACAGACATCTAGTAAAAGCTGAGAAAAAAGCAAACCCCCTCATACTTGAGCCAGCTTAATGACCTCAAACAACCAAAAAACTCAAGCACAAAGCAAGACAGCGTTGGCAGGCTGAGTCCTCTGAAGTTTTAGTATAAGGTCAGCAGCTCTATCAGCTGGTGAACAAAAAGAGAAGGTAACAGTGAACGAGCAAAAGCCACACAGAGCAAGTATAGAGCAAACTCAAGTTATTCCCAGTGCTTCATCTGCTTGTACAAAAGCAAGCAATAATGAAACTTAACAGAAAACATGAGATCTACATCTACTCGTGTCAGTGCTCAAGACAGAAATAAAAAGCCCTTCAGACCTCTGAAAACGTGCCCTGCCTCACACCGTCAGGCCTGCAGTAAGCGATAAATCCTGCAAACAGGTGCCTCCAAGCGAAGGGAAAATAGACAGCAAGTTTCAAAGGAAAAACCCCACTTTTAGCAAAAAGAAAAAAAAAAGTTAAACGCTATTTCAGCACAAATGAACCACACGAAGCAACCAGAACGAAGGCCAACGTTTGTCCCTCAGCTGGAGAAAGGAAGGATCGGGCAGCTCAGCTGCAGCGCGACGCTCTCCCTCCTCGGCCAGGTACGCTTTGGGCGCCCCGGGT